TAGTATGGCTATGCTGCTATGTTCTTGTTCATACAGTCCATTTTCTTGTTGACCGTTCTTAACTACAGGGTGATCGAAAAAAAGTGTCACCCCTAATTTAAAAGCCATATAACTCGCGATTGGTTGGTCGTACGACTTTGCGCCAGGCAGCATTGGAAAGAGCATACAATTTCCTTTCGAATGGATGTAAATATGCATGGTTTATGCCGCAAACGAAGATGTAGCTATTCAAAAAGTATGTTAAGGACGCAATTTGGCGTGTTCAAAAGTTTGGTTGTGCAAATTTGTACTTTTGACAGAGTTTTTGATCTGACAGCTCACGTGACAGCTCACGTGAGCATTTTTCTTAACTGTTCCATGGTTACCGCTGCATAAAATTGATAATCCGGTAGTGCAGGTTGTCGCAATGTTTCGCTAGTTACCGGCGAATTTGTGAATAATGAGGCCGCATGTTTGCAAGGAAGATCTGATAAGGTCTTCCTTGTCTAAGGTCAGCTGAGAAACGAGACTAAGGTCCGCTGAGAAACAGTCTGCAGTGAACAACATACACTCCATGTGTAATGTGTACACTGAAAACCAAAATGATTCTCCTGATGCCCTGGTCATGGGCATTTATACCCGCATGATTCCCTTTTGATCCTTAGATTATACCCATTTTTTCATTCCCTTCGATTATGCGGGCATCACAGAGGGAATCCGAGTCCCCAAATATGTCCGTAATACTCCCATATTATACCAGTGGCGCTGATCCTCTCAATAGAACGTAAATATCACCCGATTAGAACTGTAATACTCTCCAATGATTCTTAGCTACGAGAATCATTGAAGAATCAATACTGTCTCGCGATTCCCATTTGACTCTCTCATGATTCTCCAATGATGTCACTATGATTCCCGGAAAGGGCATAACTGCCATTTTCTCGCCGCCATGACAGTTTATAACTGTGAGGTGGAGTTGACTGCGTTTCGGGGCCTGCATTTTTGGGCATTTAAGTGTGTTTTTTAGGTCTGTGACTTTCGCAAGCGAAGTATTTGTTCCTATTGCACTCTTTGATATTTCTGACACAGTGTAAAGGCAATATTTTCCTAAGAAACACAAACAAAATCCATCTTTATGCCATGGATGGACTGAGAGAGAGAAAGAGAGAGGTTGAGCTCATCGCTGGGAAACCTGTCACCAGGTTTGGACGACCAGCCTAGGTGACTTTATGAGGACAATCTGTGAAAATACATCTCGCAGTCGAGGTAAGGACGAACTGCAGCAGATTTATAATATGTTTTTTGGAAAAGTGTTTTTATTCTGTATTCTCTTTTTTTACCGCGCCGTGCTGGTGGTCTGAATTTCCCTTGTCGTGCTGGGGAGTGGGGGGGGGGGGGGTGCGTTTTCACCCCTCCCCCGTCTAATTCGCCTCCTGGGCCACGTAGCGACACGCGGTAAGCGGCATTCAAAAAAGCGTAAAAAATATGAAAATACTTCGGTCATTTTTAGGTCAGGTAACCAGAGGTCATCAAATGTCAAATTTTATATATTTCAACAATTTTCGAAACACCCAGCGCATAACTCGGGAACCAATAGAGCTACAGCGCCGGGGAAGATCGCATTCGATACCTCTTTTACAGGCCTATCTGAGGAATGTTCTCAGATTTAACCTCAGATCAACGGATTAGCCTCCAGAGGGCAAAACTCCAAAAATAGCCGTATTTACGAAAAAACAAGTTTTTCGGTAATTACTTTTGACTCAAATAAGTCACGACATCAATTTTACCAGCATCGTTTTCCTCTCGTCGAGAAGCGTCGAATGAACTATAAGTTGACCTGGAAAGGTCATTTTGAAAATTTGACCTCAGGTCAAGGTCATGACCTGACCGGAAAGTCATGGTGCATATCAGTCGATCCGTATCGTCGAGCTGAACAAATCTGACATGTTTTCACCGCTCTAGCACGTCTCTATCAAAAGCTATATCTACTAAAAATGCTGGTGACCTTTAATGACCTGATATGACCTCAGGGGTGCAGAGAGGGGTCATGTGTACAATTTGCAGATTCAGTGTGTCATATTTACTTACAAACCGATGTTTGTGAGTGTTTAGAACGACATTCGTTCACAGGGGCGCGGGAACTACTTTCAGACTGGGGGGGGGGGGGGGGCACACCATAATAGAGATCAACCTAGGGTACCCCCAAATCTAGTTTTCTCACCGGTTTTATGCCACTTATTTTTCATTTCTTGGCTTTTTCACCAAAAAAGAAAACATTTGCAAAAAAAGTGTGATATTCCGTCTCAAAGCTGTGGGGGCACCGCCCCCACGGCCCCAGAATTGGGGGGGGGGCAAGCTTCCCCCCTGCCCCCCGGCTCGGCAGGGGTGTGTCATAATAAGGTGTGTGTCATGTTGAGTTACGATACTCATTGTTCTCGTTCAGTCAGCGGTGTCCGATCCCGTTCGGTGAATTTCGTTTCACGTGAAAGCCGCACATTGACTGGTTTTTGAGCCCATGGGGACATGATTTGGAATAGAAAACAATCATGAATAAAATCAATTGAAAAGAAATTGCCTGCTCTTTCCGATGCTGCCTGGCGCGAAGTCATCCGACCTACCAGTCGCGAGTAATGTAGATTTTAAGTTAGGGGTGACACTTTTTTTCGATCACCCTGTATAAACATCTTTAAGAAAAAGCATGAACTTTAAGGAAACGGTTTATGCTGGTCTAATCCCTATTTACCGGCTTTGCAAATATCGTCAATAGAAATGTTTTTCTTTTTGTTCACGGAGCCACTGAATGCACAAAATGTATTGAATGCATAAATTATAAAGGCATATCAAGTATAATTTATTTTTGTTTAGCTTCAAAATTATGTTTTGTTAAGTGTGGTAAATGGTGGTCCATGTAAATCTAAATTATTATACATCTATCCGCTTTTATACACCATAAATGTAACCGACAAGGTGTACTATTATAGTAGCCAGTAGGTACTAGTGTATCGTAGTAATTTTGGCCCTAATCTGGTCAACCCTTACATGCACCGGGTCCGGATAAATTATTACTTACGCCCAATTGATAGATAATAAAGCTCAAACGCTTATGGGATGAAGTTACCTGGAATCGTCTTCGAAATATCTGCAAGGCATAGGTATTAGGTAAACTAGAAAAGTAATACTTCTGCATTTCAACCAGCCAAATGCGTCTGTCGATGAACCGATTAGCAAAAATCTGTCAGCGTGAATTCCGCTTGAACAAACCACAATGGAAAACATATTTTGTGCTGGTTTGCCCAATGAGTCTGCGTTGTTCGCCCGTCACAATGGTGTCTGAATGCACATACGGTGCACACTGCACGCGAAACGTGTGCACGTTGTGCACTCACCGGCCCTTCACAAGCACAGCCCGTGCGTGACGGTCAGTCACTCGGACAGTGCACGTGCATGACATGTGCACGGGTTCACCAGACGCATAACACGGCCGCTGGCGGCGGCGTGCGCCTGTTGCCGCGAGGCCCAACCGTGCGCAGTGGCTGGACAGGTTTCGCTCGGCTGCGCGGCGCGACGGTGCCCCGTGTGTCGGCTCGGGATTTTCGAGGGGGTTATTGAGAGTGGCCGCGGGCGGTCCTCATGGCGACGCCGCTCGCCTCGGGGGGCTGCCGGTCCGGTTCGGTCCTGGTCCCGGTCCCGGTCCCGGTCCGCCCTCCACGGGTGTCCCGGGGACAGGCTGCTTGTCCCGAGGGCTCTGTGTTAGACACAGCGTGATACCGCGCCGGCCGCGGCCAGGGTTAGCACCGGCCCGCGAAACAGGGGGACAGCAGCCGCCACAGGCCTGCGCATGACTCGGGAGGGTTGGAATGGAGAGCCCGGGTGAGCCGTGGGTATGGGTAGCCTAGCGCGAGCTGTAGAGCCTAGAGGAGCTATAATTTAGCTATTAGGTCGGTCGAACGACGGAGGAACGTTTTGTCTGAGCCGCTGAGCAGCTTCATCATGATCAGTTGATCAGTTCGTGAAGTTACATATCAAGAGCATCCGACAGCCACAGAGGCTGAATGCATTTGGGAACGTCTTGGCTTGGAGCTTGACAGACGCGCCACTATGCCTGCACTTTACCATATAACTCAGTCTCTCTTCGAATGGCGATGAAGACATGCAAACGCTATCCCGACCTGCAATGAGGCTGACGCTCACTTCCAAGAGAGCAGCATCACCAATTTTCGCCGATTAGGTTCGAGAGCTCCGCTCTAACGGGGTCACCTCCAGCCGCTGAAAGGTCGACCCTGGGCCTCGGCATCATAGCCGGCCCTGGGAAGGCCCTAACGGCACCGGGCGGCCCCCGCGGCGCACTCAATTGGAGCGATGATGGATGGTGCGCCGGTGGAGCCTGCTGAACTGGGTCTGGGAACTGGGAGGACCACACTGGTGTGGCTAGCTCGAGAGGATGATCAACGCTTTATCCAGTCCGGGTGGAGAAACGGACTGCTTCCGAGTCGGGAAAACCGGGCGCTGAGCAAATAATAACTCAATTCATAACCAAATGTTCCAACGTTAACGCTACTGCCAACAATTTGTTGACATTGTTGCAGAGTTGTAGCTTACATCCCCCCCAAAATTGTTTCAAAAAAGCTAAAAGGGGGTGTACTCACATTTCAATTTATCAGCGTGTCATTCACGCCTAGATAAGGAACTCTGTGAATGTGGTTCATCCGGGTAGGCAACACTGACCACCACCCTAGTGCGAAATAAATGATCACCTCTTATGCAATAGCTAAATAAATATGGCCGGCCGACCCTTTGAAGGGCCGCTCGGCAGTCTCGGTCGCCGGAGTGTTTATCTGCCGTGACCGCTCGGGCCGGCTCTGTGCCGGCGAGTGCGTGCTGCAGTGGCAGAGGTCTGTTTATCCCGGGTATCGTGTGCGACCTTCCGGCGGATACGCGGCCGAGTGCAGGGCGCGGCTATCGGGTGTCAGTGACACGCTACATGACCCGGCTATCTCGGATAGCGGCAGCGGCCCACCCACCTGTAGTAGTCCTCCTTGCAGTAGATGTTGCCGTCTCGTGTGAAACACGTCAGGTCGCCGTCCAGCGGCAGCTTGCACTCGTAGCACTTGAGGCAGGCGCTGTGCCACGGCTGATCGACGGCCAGCAGGTAGAACCTGTCGGCAATCTGGCCGCGACAGCCGGCGCAGTGTCGGGCCGCGCCGGCCGTCTCCGTCGCCGTCTCCCGGAGGAGACCGGGCCGGGCGGCGTCCGGCCCGGTCTCTGCGCCGCCCACAGCCAGCCTGGGCACTGCAGGTCACTGCAGGTCACCGACGCGCTCACTGCCGGTCACTCCTAGTTGACGCTGTTCACTGAAGATCAATGCGGGCCGCTGCGAGTCGCTGCGGACCACTACTGATCACCGTTGTTCACTGCGAGTCACCACTAGTCTCCGCTTGTCACTGCCAGTCACTACAGTCACCGCCGGTTCACTGCGGTCACCACAGTCACCACAGTCACTCAGACGAACCGCGTCACCGCCCAGTCCTTGTCCCACCACGCGCACGCACACAACAGACAGGTTCTGGGGCGCGGGCTCGGCTGGCCGGCCTCGGCCAACTGGTCCGGCAGGTCTGCCGCTGGTCGCTGGTCGCAGGGCGCTGGGCGCTGGGCGCCCGCTGGTCTAGTCGCTGCTCACACCGCTCGGGAAACCTCTTGAGGTGCGATTGCAACGGTGCGGGATAATTTCTGACAGCTTTGACTCCTCTGGCTGTTCTGTTGTTCTGGCTGCCTGCTGCTGGTCTCTGGTCCTCTCTCGTATCCAAGGGCCTCCTCTGGTGTCTTCAAGTCTCTGCTGGCTCCTCTGGTCTCGGCTGGTCCCTGGTCCGCGCCGGTCGGTCCGGTCGCGTGGGAGCCGCCCCGCTGTCGGCCTATCTGCTCCGTGGATCGACCTGGAGCGGACGACGTCTCTGGTAATCACTGGAGCCGATCACTGCCACCGGCTCGGCCGTATCGGACGCAGTGAACACGGGGACACGCGGATACAGGGACACGGTGGATACATGGACACACGGACACAGGGACACAGAGACACTGCCACCGGCCCGGCCGTATCGGACACGGTGGACACAGGACACGGACACAGGGACACGGAGAGACTGGATACAGGGACACACTGCCACCGGGTCCGGCCGTACCGGGAGCCGGCGGCGGACACACGGACACAGCGGATACGGGAATACGGGGCACTTGGACAGATGGACACAGGAATAGGGAGAAACGGGGACACAAGGGGCACAGGGAAACAAGGATACACGGGGATACGGCAGACACGGTGAGAGCGGACACGGGGGACACACGAGATAGAGGGCGAACTGACACGGTGATATCGGACACACAAACGCAGGGACACAAGGACATGACAAGAGGGGGCTTTAGGACACACGGGGCGGGAGCACACAAGAGCGGACGCAGGGACACATGGACACACTGACAGAAGAGCATGGCGAGAGACGACACATGGATGCTCGGGCACGGCTGTTATGGACACATCGGCATGAGAGGAACGGACATACGGGCACAGCACGTGCAAACGGTCGGACACAACACGTGTGGATAAACAGACACGAAGTCACTGATACGGCAAATACGGACCCACGTGATAAAGCATGATGACGATGAGGCCAGGGATAACGTGTGCAGCTCAAATATGAAATACGGACACACTGTGAAGAAGCAGGGGCAGAACGGCAGGGTGGCACACATAATCGTGTGGTGATGCTGTCTGGTGGGTCCAGCGGGATACGCAATAGTATGAGATGCCTGAGGGTGGAGGGCAGAGCTTAGGGCAGCTATGGTCTCAGGGTAGGCTTGCCGGTCAAGGACGCTCACATGCCCTCTCACAAGGGGGCCCACAGCCACATATCTACACATGCAAGCCCGGCACTAGCGCGCAAAGGTGACTCTCAAACCTGTTTGGAAGATACACAGCTGATTTCAGCCCCACCAGCACGTTCACGGTCACACAGCAGATCACGTGGTTTGCGGAGCCCTCCACTGAGCCGCAGCGGCCCCCTTGCTGCCACGCTGGGTCGGTGGTGACGTCGCAACTCACCAGACCGTGCAGTGTCACCGCGCTGCGCCCGCCGCCGCCACGCTTCCAGCTCGTCTCGCGGGCCGACCGCCGCCACCGCCGGGCGGGGCCGATGGCCGGTCCCAGCTGATAGCCCCGCCCCCGACGGACGGCCGCCGCGCCGCAGCCAATCACAGCTCGCCGCGACGCCGCCCGGAGAGCTGATTGGTGGAGACGGCCGGCGGAGGCAAGACGCGCTGACGGCGGCGGCGGCGACTGCAGCCATCGAGCGGGCTGCGCCGGCGGCCGGCGGCCGCGCCGCCGCCGGCCGCCGCTCCGAGTCTTTATCTCGACGGCAGCGGTCAGAGCCGAGCCGAGGGCCGGACTGTGATGTCGTGATAGGCCCCCGCGGCCCCTGTCCCCACACAGGCTATCGCCGGCCGGCCGGCCGCAATAAAAATGACCGTTTTGTCACCAGTCTGTATCGATCGGCGATCTAACCGCCTGCATGACGGCTTTCCCATGACGGCAGTTATCGGTGGCTGGATTTTTAGCGACTGTAAATTCGCTTTGACACTTGGCGGTGGTAAAAGTGTCGGCGCTGTTTTGAACACTGTCGGCGGAGAACGGGCTGTCGGCGGCAGGGGTGGGCTGTCAGTGAGACGTGTCCGGAGCGTGCCGACAGGTTCGACATGTCTCCTGCAATGCGTTCCCTAATCCAGGGGATTTTCTCAGGCAGTCTTTCCATGTCACTCAGAGTTACAGCCTACAGGTCCTGCTCAGCAGGCTAGACCGTGCTGTTTAGTGCTTATGTTATGGATGTCTGGGCTGCGGTGGATTGTGCAGTTTGCAATATCCATTCGTATCATAAAGATCCACCAAAAGTAAACAGAACCATCCCTTTTACTCTAGTCTTTAGATCATAAAAAATAGCACACGATAGATATCAAATCCGCACGGCAGCACTTGTAAGAAAATAGTGGGGTATCCCATAAGATCCTTGCAAAATGATTGGATAATTCACCTTATTATCGACAGCACTGATGTTGTCGTTTGAAGATAGAAGACACTCGACAGTGGACAGTGACATATGGCAGCAATAACAGTGCCATTACCAACAATTTCCCTCTCATCAGCCCAGACGACAGATATCTAAGAAGCTGCAGTGAGTGCAGACCCGTGACTTGCTTTTACTATAAGTACTTGGTAGTTGAATTTATAATGTCTTCTATGCTCTCAATCCGCAATGTCCATCAAGACAGCCCAGGTTCAGCAATCCGCATGATTCTAACACGTATTTAACTTCATAAGTGCAATGTAACTTCATAAGTGCAAAATAAGTGCAATAACTTCTCTTGTCACTCTAAATCGTTTTCTCGTTTATTTCAACTTAATCATTTAATCATTTAATTCAATTTCATCATCTAAAAATCGTCTTCCTGTCAATAGCTAGATCCTAGAAGAGCGTGACGCGACATTTTCGACCAGAGGTCGATTCGGAATAATCAAAGTTCCGTTATCCCACGAAGCGACCATCTTTGCAAGAGGACATTGTATATCACGTGATGCCGCACAGTCGTAGTTACAGATGTAGGTCATCGACATTGTACAAGGACAGGAACAAGAAACTCATCTACGCTTGTATTTATGATTGCAAACATTACTCGCAGCCAGATATAGAGACGTCTCGCAGGGGCAGGGGATAACTTGTTGACTGTTGAGTATCAGCGGGTGGGGACACAGTGAATCGGTGGTGAAGGGGACACGGAGAATTTCAGTCTTCTCAGACAGCTCCTATTCTGTGTGTAGTGCATGGTACGCTCAAAGGGATTTAAATCTGCAAATAAGGCCGCTGTTCATGTGTGATCATTTGGGCCCTATGGAAAACTTCGTCCTAAAATGTAACGAGCATTGTCACTTTCAGTAATGGCATAAATATTTAAAAACAACAGCTAATCTCATCACAGTAAATCGGTATTGCATAACAGCATGACGTATCGCAAGTTCGTTTGGTCTATCATGGATTGACTTCCGAAACTGGACAAGGCGTTTTCCTCTCTCACTAACACATACCAGCGCATGAGACTGAACAGATCTTACAATAATCCTGCAGGTGCAATAAGCCGTCCCATATGGTGATAATGCTGCTGCAAGCCACTCTCCACAGACTTTGAGGAACACTCGTGTTCTTAGTGTACAATCTAACACCTATTGTGTCGACTGACGACCCAAACCACAAAACCGGCAGCAAATAAGCGTCGCTGTCAGCACTCAAGGATAGAAATCTGTGTTTGCCACCCATGCAGCCAGATTTGTGGACCACCCACTTCGGTAGACATCTTTTTCGTAAATAAATCCTCTAATCATGTTATTTATCCTCTCACACCATAAGTGTTTCTAACTAGTAAGTAGTGACTAGCCTCATTTCTAAGCTGACTTTATCTCACAGGTAGCTAGCTATCCCTGGCTAAAGAGCACTTACTAATTAAATGTAACCATGATTGCGTTAGCCAACATTTGTTGCCTTTCTTGTCATCCTCATTTGCCCTACTCCTCCGTTCGTCCTGGGTTCCCCACTTCCCCAATTAACTATTTATGCGATACGAAAATACATTGAATACGGTGTGCTCTTCTCAAAACTGCCTACCAACAGTAAATCCTTCCAAATTGACCGCTGCAGTGGTTCCACGCTGTTGATTGACGATCTAAGGGATATAAATCCCTACGGCAGCGCCAAACTGGCCGATAACAAATAATGTGGCGCCGATAAATACGCGGTTCGGACAATATCGACAGCGGTCCAGGCCCAGACGCATCGATTGCTAGCTCCGCCTCCACCCATCCCTCCCTGCACACATCTTCCATCCCCCCCCCGACCCAACATCGCCCTCTCCGACCCCGTACCGTCACTCAGGCCACTTGGGTTCCTACTCACCCCGATAAGTACGAACATGCACACACGGACAAAAGGAATTGATTTACATGGTGAGCTACGGTAGCGACAGGTGGAAAAAGTGTCGGAATCGCGGGGCGGTGCTTTGTTTTGCAGGGGGACATCGCGGAGGGGACGTCTGATTAACCCCGTCCCTAAGCCCTTATGAAACATGGCAAAGAATGTTTCGTTGGGTCGGCATGCTCGCTGCTCACGCCTAAAAAGATGGCGAACTGGTGGGTTTGCATTGTGTTTGCTCTAGATATCAACGCTGAACAATGCCTGCATTTATGTTCACTAACAACGCAAACTCACATGCCTACTACATTTGATATTTGATTTGGTTGTTCATCATAACACAAATACTGAATCTGGCGTTTACGTTTCCTCTTTCGACAGCAACGATAACACAATCATAAAAAATACATTCGGCGACAGATTCCATCCGTCACTCAAAACCGTTCCAGTCCAAATGGAGATGTTCGGTATTTTCCTCTATCACACTTGGCTCTCTGTAAATACGGGCTAAAATTAGTGCAACGAAGCCCGGGAGGACTTCCCCTCCCCTCCCCTTTCCTTTCAGTCTGCCAGGCTGCCGAGGGTCCTGCCGTCCGCTCCATAAGTGAATTAAAATAACACCCCCTGTCAGTTCTCACGCCGATCCTGGTTGTGACATACGGCGGTTTGAAGCTGCAAGTGAGTGGCGAGCTATACCGTTGGGCGTAAACAATTTGTATGGCAGAATGCGAATTGTGAATAAAATCATAGACACTGAACAGCAGCCTGTTGCATTGGAGGCCATGATAAGTTATCACAAGGCCTAAAACCTAACGTATCAATCTCTCAATGAAGGCCACGTTTTATAAGATGATCCGATTGATCGTATGCATCGGTTGTTCCACATGCGTGTCCCATCCCCTCCCCAGCCAGCCTGGGGATGCAGGACCATCCAATGATCACTGGAATCAGGATCATCCTATGATCACTGGGATCGGACCGTTCCGGGATCACCATGATCGGAAATAGGAATCGTCCCGGGATGACCGCGTCGCGAGTCCCACCGAGCCCCCGTTTCGCCTCGCCGGCTCGGCTCACCGGACCACAATACCCCGGCAGGTGCGTCGTCGACCGCGTCGGTCGCGACGCTCGGCGCTCCGTCGGCGTCGACAGCAGATAACGAGCTGCGCCGCTGTGTTGCGTCGTTTCCATGGCAACCGCTGGGCACCTGTCGTCGGCTCCGGGCCGGCTCCGGCGGAGCGAGCCGCACCTGTGCCGTCGGCGAGCGGCTCCGGCTCCTGCCTCGGCCGACCGGCGCCGCTCTCTGCGTTAAATGACCACGTGCAAATACACGCCCGCTTAGTGTTTCTGACATGCAAATAGGGAGCGCTGACAGAATCGATGCGCTCTAGTGGGAGGACGGAGGGACGGCGTGGAGGGCTGGGACGGTTACGGCGGACGGTGGCCGGACAGTGGACACGTTCCCCTCCTAGTGACAGGCCATTGTCACCGTCAGAGAGACACGGTCGATGGTCGGGGAATATTACCGTGTACCGATATAGACACAGCTGTTCAATCACATCGGCGATTGTGTAATGAGCAAATGATGTCTAGAAGGTATAACGAATAATACATTTATAATTTCTGGCGAAATGATGCGTTACTGTAGTCTCAATTACGTAACCACAGTCTGTTTTTATCCAATTCAAAATGTGTGGAATTGCGGCTTACGTGCATGTGAATGGCAAATGAGCCGTGTTATACCTACCATAAAAACAGGCTCGCACAGGAAGCCAAGGTAAAAAGCAGAACACTTAGCGCATGGTACAGACTAAAAGTAAGTGCACAACAATGCCAGTTTAATTAGCATTTTTAGCACCACCAGCCTTTTATGGTTTTGTTTCCGGTCCATTGAAATTTGATTCAGCATTGCTGCAGAAAATATATAACTATGCTCACAAACTATGCGATTATTGCACGATAGCAACCATATTTTCATGAATCATGACATCATATTTTGACCTTTGTTCATTAGCATTTCAGTGCTGTTCAAATGATCTGTTGATTTTTTGTTGCATTTTCATGATTCATTTAAGCATTAATGAATGCTCAAGCCAAATGCGAAAATGAACAGCCATTAGCGCCCCGTTTAAGCTTTGGAAAGTTTGCACAATATTACTTC